TGTGTGTGTGTGTGTGTGTGTGTGTGTGTGTGTGTGTGTGTGTGTGTATGTTTTAACTAATTCTTACATCATATTTTTTCTTATTTAAAAATCACATTTAGTAAAAGGAAAATGACTCTTTTCCCAGGAATCAATTTGTCTTGCCCAAGCTCACCCAGTTCGGAGAGAAGGAATATCCCTATGCCAGAAATAATGGCCTGGACATCCTTTTCCTTATAATCCAAGATGTGAGCACAGAAGGCTGAAGCATGAGCCACGTGACCCCAATGCCACACTTCCTCTTTCTTCCACTGCTCTTTAGAATTCTGCATTATCTTCATTTATAGTCCTCTAAAATAACTGGAAATTTCTCTGGGAGCTGAACAAGTAGTCTACCAGCTACACGCCGATTTTATCACTAAAAAGCAAGAGCATCTTGATTTCACGGACATTCCCATTCCAAATACTGAAAATTTCCTTTCACCTGAGAGCAAGCTTCAAACAAAATAGGTTTCTACAATGACCTGTTTGTACTGTGTGTACGCATTGAAGGCTTAGCCATTACCTACGTGTGGAGACCCTGTTCTCTCTGAAACAGCGAGGTTTACTCACACATTCATGAGTTTCAAGCAGTTTTCTGTATTCCTTCTTTTTTTCCATAAAACAGAATAACATTAAGGACCCACTAATTTTAGCAGGTGATGAAAAACTAGAACGCTCAGAATTCAAAAGGATAGTAAGATGTTTCCGATCTTTCAGAGAAATTATGAGCACGCAAATATGTAGTGCTTAAGCAAGGCCCTCCATTTGCCAATCCGAAAAAATTGATCTGGACAACATGCCAATATAATGATTTATTTAACTAAACTACATTCTGACTGCAAGTTGGAAAACTCTTAGGCAAAAAGTATCAGTAATTATTCTTTCTATCAGGTGAAAACAGCACCTTAAACAATGTTCTCTGCATAGTCCACAACTATGAAATGGTTTCTAGACTAAATGTGTGGAAATGGTTAAGGAAAGTGAGAATGTCTTCTCCCTACTACGTATTCCAGATACAAGTTCCCAGGTAAAATGTGAGTACTATACCAAGTGCATATACCAAAATGTCAACGTAGGAAGAGGCAAAACTTTATTTAGAAGGAAAAGAGCTAAAAATAACTTCACTTTTGGAAAAAGAAATCTTTAAAAAATGTTTTTAATGATTACTCTGAAGACAGAATATTTCAAAATAAGGCTGACAGTACCATCTGCTGGGCAAGAGCAGAAAGAACAAGCTACCATGATAATTATTAATTAATGATATTAAAGAATGTGATAAAAATCAATTTGAATTAAAATTCAAAAACAATAGGCACAAGCTTGACAATGCACTTCAGGTAATTTTGCTTTTACCTTATGTCACCGATGTTAATTTATGCTTATTTGACAAATACAAAATGTAAGAAATAGCATCATTTACATTAAACAGAAAGTCTCCCATGGCTTAAGTTTTCAAATTGCTGTAAAACAGCAAACCACCCTCCATTTCAAAGAACGAGAAAGAAAACACCACTGAGTGAAATCTCCAAGTCAGAACTCAGACCTCTGACATCTGGAAGCTTCAGGTTCAAACACTTTCAAAGTTAAAAGGAAAGATTCCCACAATGCAACATTCAATCCCAGTCAATTTTTCTTTCTCCTAAAATTTATTGCCAGTAACTGACCTACAGTCTAAGTACAAAGTAAAGATGCAGTGTCACTTCGGGGCACAGTTCACTCTTCTAAGCCAAAGATCCACAGATGGACTTTGAGGGTTGATTAATTCCATAAAATAGATGCAAAATTATGATATGTGCATATACAGCTTTCTGGGGACACGATTCATAGTTTTCAAGGCATATTATAAGCCTGAAAAAAATGAAGAATATCTGCTCTTACCAAAGTTGCTTATCTCAAAAATTAAATACCTCAAAACATTTTCAAAATATCCTCTCATATGCAAAAACATATAGGGATCAAATTTTTCTGTGACTTCTCAATTTGGGCTTACTGTGTCTTCCACAACATTGCTATCATAGAAAATCTTAGACCACAAAGGTTGATAGGTCCTGCTAACATTACTGAAGTCCTACAGACAGAATTCCAGAAAGACCTATACATTTCCTAACACTATGTTTTCCAATAAAACACCCAGGTTCTGAAATTGGTGATGCTTTCACAAATGGTTTTGGAATGATGGAAACTTCACATTTGTTTATATTTCTTTAAAATCATTAGTTCTTTTAACCTAGAGAGCTAAAATATATATAAAAACTTGCCAAGTGGCTCCATTCTACAACCAATAAAGTCAAAATTATAAAGTTTTCAAAAGAGATTTAATATTAAGCAAATAAAACACATCTGCTGACTTTTTCTGCATGTGGATATATCCAGGTCAATCAGAAAACAATTAATGCCTGAAATATATAAGGGACGGCACATGTTTTGTTTGGCTTGAACTACCTTTAATTGATTCAACTCTATTTTTTATTTTTGATTGTAGAGTCAAAGGATCTTTTGCCTATATTTGCCTGATTTAATAATAAATCATTAGAAGACGCTGCTCAGGTTATTGTTTTCATTTTATTACCTTCAATGTTGAGATGTGAATCGACTTACCAGAGTGTTTTAAGGGCAAAGATGTTTGATAACTAAATTGTTTTCAACATTAATCAAAGCAAGGCAAAAACCATGTATTAAGAGCGCGGTGAATTTTACTGTTGGGTTTCTGCCTGCTCCTGCAGGCAGGGTCTTGCTCTTGGCTAACTGGCAATTATTCTTACTAGATAAGATGCTGTCCTCTCAGGAGTGTATCTGCATTTTACCGAGAAACCCTGAAAGACATTATGACCCAGAGGAACAATTGACTGTGGATAAATTTCAGACATCATTAGAAATTCAGGTACGGAAACTGCTCAGGTATGGGAAGCCCTACCATGTACCTCTGCACTGCCACTTAATCACCTCCCTGTTCTTACAGCTGGCCCTGAGACACTAATCTACAAATACTAATTTGCGTTTTAAAAGGCCAAACTAGGCATTGGTAAAGTTTCCAAAGCTTGCTTAGGCAAAAGTGTTTTAATGACTATAATATTTTCAAGAATGTCAGTGGACACTTGCTGTTTCTCCCTTAACACTCTGTACCTTCTTAAGCTACTCCCTCTTCCGGAAGCCCTTCTGCTTCCCTTCCTCCCTAAAGTATTCATGGAGACTCCTACATATTTCCAGGCACCTGAAGCTCAAATGACATCTGCTTTTCAAAGCCTTCCCAATCCCTCCAGCTGAAATAAATTTTTACCTCCTCTAAATTCCTGTAACATTTTCCTTGCATCTCTTTTGATATGAAAGTGTTTCCTCTCTTTAGACAGCAGTATAGCAGTGGTAAGATAATCCACTTTAAATATCAGAAAAGTCTGGTTTTAAGAACCCTGCCAGTAACTGACCTAAGCAAGTGAATTAGCCATCCCAGGCCTCCACTTCCCCATCTGTAAACTGACAAGAGAGACAGAACTACCTTTAAAAAGGTAAAATAAAAGAATTAAATAAAAAGATGCAGGTAGTGTTCAGCGGAGAGTACGTTCTCTATTCTTTCCCCTACTGCACCCAGAGAAGACGTCTGTGCTCTGTTTATATAAGCGTTCGATAGCCCAGTGTGGAGAAAGGATTCCAGCAACAGGGAACAGTAAAAAGGGCCCAGCATGTGAAGGCTTCAACTAGTGGTTTGGGCTGCGTAGAAAACAAGAGTGGCAGTGGGAGTGAAATGAGACATGGCCAGAGAGGAAAACAGAGGCCAGACCACCAAAAAACTCTTGTGGTAAACTTAAGGGGCTTGAACTTCACCAAAAAGATTCCGGCAACTGTTAAAAAATGTTAAAAAGAAGGGCGTAACTTGACTGGATAACAATCATAGGGCTTTTACAGGAAAAGTTGTTTTGAAACAGGAAAAACTGAGGCATATAAAAACCTGTTCCCATGATAAGAAATGGACTTCTATAGATTTGCTGACTATATTACCCACTGAAACACAGAAGCCTGGGTAGGATAAAATAGGCAAAGAATGATGTGAGAGAGATGATTTCATGACTCATTGAAAGTTCTTTCTAATACTCTAATTTTGTGAAAAATCAATTTCTTAATCAGATTTCTTAAGTAACTTGGATTTTAAGTAGGAAGCAAGTGAATTAGAAATCTTCAGTAATATAATCAATTGGGTCATCTCTGAATCTCAGATAAAAAGGGTCATAAGGTAAAAAAAAAAAAAAAAAGACATTTAAATTATTTTTAAAGTGAGGCATCAAACTGTCTACAGTACATGAATTAGATACATGGCAATTACACAGATAATAAGATGGGTCTGAAAGTTATTATCAAATAACCCAGATGATAATACCTGTTAAATGGCTTAATTACCTGATTACCTTAATACAAGTAATAGGTTAATTTCTCAAACTCATTGCTTAGAAAACCTTAAAGCAATCCAGATTTCTTAGGGATGGAAACTTCTATTATTAAAAGCTAACTGAACAAAACTTACAAATTTCATCATCCACGTGACAGTTTTTTTAAAAAAAGTCATTGAGAAGAAAAGGGATAAAAACACACAAGGGAAATAAAGGAGTAAAGCAATTAAAAATGGCACTTTACATAGTAAGTCATAAAGCCAGAAAAAATACAATTTGTTAAGTGTTCTGTAGCCATTATTTTGTTCAATTCTCAAAACCACCTTATCACATAGATTCTACTATCCTCAGTTTTACAGATAAGGCTTCCAAAACTTAGGCAATTGAAATAATTTGAAAAAGCTTGGGTAGCTATTATGTAGTTGACATGACCAGTTTGAGAAACAGTTTTTCTTTCTCAAAAATATTCAGCAATCTTTCTCTGTCATATGCTTATCCAGATGAATATTTGGAGAATGTTAGCGCAGGTAAAATCCTTAGCATTTGTTTAATTCCTAATTTACTGCAGAGGCAACTTGACCCAAAGAGATTAACTGGCTTTTTCAAGGTTATACAGAAATAAAATTGAAAACCCAATCTCCTCTCCAGATTCTACTAAACCTCAGTGCAACATTTTTGTTACACTAAACTCAGAGATGTTGGCACATTACACTTAATTAAATCAAACCCAACTAAAATCTAAGTATTTTTCCAATGACAGGCAGATTGTCCAAATCTCACCACTGAGGATGAGCTAGGGCAGGCTTGGCTAGGATAGTTGTCAAGCAGCCACTAAAAGGGATTAGATTCCAAGAGGCCTAAATTAGGGAGCAGGAATTTCTATTCAAGATAGCCTACAATACCAAACATTTGAGAGGTAAACCAAGCAATGGCCTGTTGGGGAGATGGGAAGTTCAAATACCTGAACGATCAAGTGCAAACACAAAGTCTAAAGGGCCACAGACAGGTTCAAGGTTCCAGAGATAGGATCAGAGCAAAAGTAAATTAGAAATGAGAGATGGGGGTAGTTGGTTTCCCAGATGGGTGCTTGCACAACCATGTTTCATGGGACAACAGAAGTGGTCCTGGAATAGGTCTGGGGTTACTGGGAAAAGGAGGCAGGGCAAGGTTATACAAAAGCAGCAGATGGAAGTATTGCTCTCCAAAGAGTTCTCATCTACACTAAGGCAGATGGATTTACAGGAAGAACCTGATTTTGAACAGGTCACTATATAAAAATCCATATTTACAGTATAATTTAAGACAGGTGAAAAATCCTATTTATTCTATACTTTAACATTATCCAGTTTTTAAATGAGAACTCTAGGACACAGAGATTGTGGCTATTCATTCAAAGTTACGAAGCCCATTACTACAAAATCAAAAAAAGATAGGTCTTCTAAGTCAGTCATTTCTATATTTATAGGCTGCCACGATAAGAGTCAAAACTGAGATGATCCTTCTTGAAACTATAAATCAATTTGTGCAAAATAAGCACATACTGGAGAAACAGTCCTTACTCCCCTAATCCAAGTGACAAAGGCTCTGCCATTCCATCAGCATTTCAAATTGTCTTGCACATTTATTGTGGAGGTCTAAGCATCATCTAAAACCCACACTATGATTAATGCTTTTAATTTTTATTTCACATATGTATCCAATTTTAAGTAAGCACACACACAGATGCACACACACATAATTGTATGTAATAAAGAGAGCTTACCTTTAAGTCACTTCCTGGTAACGTGCCCACTCCATCTTTCCAGTCCATAACACTGAATACATCAAACTCTTGACCACTTGTGCTAGAGGCAGATTCAGTCATGATTTATTTTTTAACCTGAAAGGGGAAAAGAAGGCATATCACTAAATATTCCACACGGAAATCTGTTTTTAATTTAGTACTCATTAGTTCAGTTCCCCTTAATTACATAATTTTCTTGATCACAATATCCCATATTCCTAGATCTAAAAACAACTACTTCAAAAATATTAACACTTTTTTCCTAGTACAATCCTTGGAAAAGTATAGAGAAAAAATATTAATAAAAATTTCTAAGTTAAACAGTGTTATGGTAAACATTTTCTATTCACAAACAAAAGAAATGCATTGATTCAAGGCATATTCACTTAAAACAAAAAGTCATAATGCCATATGGATAGAATTCCTTGCCTGTAAGTAGTCTGTTTTCTGTTTTAAGACACTAGAAAAAAATAGACATGGATAAAGGATAATCTGCCAATTTGTTATTCTAGGAAATAGGAAAACAGTCTCAAAATGTACAGCAAACACCCATTAAAAGTCTCTGTTAAGATAACCAATTTGGCTACCTAAACTGTGACAAAATTCCTAATTTTCATTTTTTAAAAAAATTGGAAAACAAATTTCCATTGATTGTAGTATTGATATTGTTCTGAGACTGTTGTCTGTGTAACATGAGAAAAATAAATAAGTAATTTTGTTGGTATCATAGACAACCGATGAAAGATTGATGGGTCCTAAATTTGAATGGAAGTATCAGTATGAATTCATGATGTGTTTTATCTTTAGAAATATGTGTATTTTCTAGTTTTGTCCACTGAAAGAATCTAGAAACAATCATCAATCAACAGTAATGAGCAGCCTAGCTTCAACTGTGGTGTCTAAATACCATTTCTCACAATTCTCCTCCATAGAAGGAGCTGACTTCTGCTCAATAGCAGGAAATGTCCAAGATGAAACTTAAACATCTTGTCAAACAAGAAAGCAAAGAAGCTATCAAAGACAACGGAAGTCATATCCAAAGAACTCAAGAGCCAACCTGAATACGCCCCTTCTGGCCAAAGAAAGACAAAGTAGCATCCTTACTATCCTTACTAATTACTAGCTGCAGTGAACTGAAACACATCAGATAAATGTAAATCCACAAGTTCATAATGACATTCAAAGCAAACAAATAAACCAAGAACACCTCACTGATCACCTTCTCAGGATTCAAGAAAACCAACTCACTATTTGGAAAAGGAAACACGGATTTATCCTGCCTTTCCTATGTGATCTGTATGTTAGAGTAACTATATCGTTGGACAGATAAAGTTTCCCCTTAGAAAGAATTCCAGCTAATAAATGAAGAAAGAATGGTAGAATATTATAATTTGTAACCTTTAATAAATTAATGGTTCTAGGCAACGACCATCAATGGCTGCCAGGAATGCAAACCCAACACCATCTATGAAGTAGCCTTGCCAGGAAAAAACAAAATCAAACCTAATCTGATCAAGTCTATTTATAGAAGCTAGCAGAGAAAGAAAGCCTGTTAAATCACACCACAAAGATATAAGGAAGAAAATCCAGATTACCAGAAACTCTTTAGCAGCATTTCTCAAAGCATGCACACCTCAAGGGTCTCTGAGACCCTTTCAAAAGGTCCAAAAAGTCAACTGTTTTCATAAAAATACTCACATACTCTTTGTTTTCTTCACTGTGTCGACATTGGTACCTATGGTGCAAAACCAAGAGAGGATAAAATTGCTGGTGCAATGGCAATAACTGTAGTAGCAGCCATTGCATTCTTCCCTGCCATGCATGCACAGTAAATAAATGTCAGTTTCACTAAAGACCATTACTGACGAAGTAAAAATAATAAATGTTATTAAGTCTTGACATCTGAATATACATCTTTTTAATATTCTGTGTGATGAAATGCGAAGTACTTTGACATGCCAAAGTACCATGGATGCAAGCTCCTGGTTTTTAATGGAATGCCTTTTTTACTTAACAAGCTATATTTATTCGGGTTTGGACGTCTGGTAAATATTTTGTCAAAAATTAATGAAGTGGGCCTGTCAAATGAAGGAAAACACTAACAGTATTTGTAGCTAACAATTAAATTTGAACCTTCAAGAGAAAAATCAGGATTTTGTAAAACTTACAAGCATCACCATAAGCTTGCCAGCTTCCAGATGGCTAAAGACTTTTCTAAGGCAGTGGATGGGCGGTGATAGTAATGGATGTGATTTTTAAAATATTTCATAATGAAATATGTCAACACTTGAAGATCTGCCTAACTCGGTTAAGCAAAATTTTCAAAATGACCAACACATGATGGTACAAAATTATGCATAGGTAAATGATCCATTTAAAGTGCAAGATGGACCAACAGATTTTATTTATTTATTTATTTGTTTGTTTATTTTGAGACAATTTTGCTCTTGTCACCCAGGCTGGAGAGTGCAGTGGCATGATCTCGGCTCACTGCAACCTCTGCCTCCTGGGTTCAAGGAATTCTCCTGCCCCAGGCACCCGAGTAGCTGGGATTACAGGTGCCCACCACCACACCTGGCTAATTTTTTTGTATTTTTAGTACAGACGGGGTTTCACCATGTTGGCCAGGCTGGTCTTAAGCTCCTGACCTCAAGTGATCCGCCTGCCTTGGCCTCCCAAAGTGCTGGGATTACAGGCATGAGCCACTGCACCTAGTCCCGACAGATTTTAATGTAACAGATTATGATTCATAATTAATCAGGTTCATTGGTAAGGTTTCAAACTGCACACTGCAACTAATCTTTAAGAAACTACCACCACCTGTCAAGTTTTAGTGTGGTAACTAAGAACGTTCACTATTAAATGAAAAGGCTATTAAAATATTCCTTCCTTTCCCAACCTCATACATGCATAAAACCAGATTTTCTTCATATACTTCAAGCAAAACAACCCAAAGCAACAAGAATGCAGAAGCAGATATCTAGCTGTCTTCTATTAAATTAGACATTAAAGAGATCTGCAAAAATGTTTAAAAATGCCATTTCTCTCATATTTCTTTTATTCTGGAAACTGTGATTATATTTCATTAAAATTATGTTTATATATGCTATCATGCACTGGTTTTACTGTTATTTTTAAATAGTTTAAACTATTTCTAATATAGCAAATATTGATATATATATATATACAAACTATAAAAACAATACCTCTTTGAGCTTTCAACCATTTTTAAAAGTGAAAAGGAACTTGAGACCAAAATGTCTGAAAGCCAATACTGTAAACTACATAAAAAGATGGGCAAGGAAATATGAAATTTAGATGAAAAGGGATTTAAGAAACACATCAACCAATCACAATATTACAATTCATAGATATTCTGTGGACCCTGATTTAAACAAAAGATTATTAGACAGGAAGGAAAGTATGAATGCCAAATTAGGTATTTTATGATATTAAAGAAACACTGGATTTCTTTAAGAGAAATGACAGCATGTACTTTTAAAAGAGGAGTTGTTCCTTGTATTTTAGAGGTACAAATTGAAATGAAAAGATGAAATGATGTAATGTGAGAAATTTGCTGTAAATAAGGGGATGAAGTGGTAATAAGACTGGCAATGTGTTGCTAATTGTTAAGATGTGTAAAGGGTCCATGATAGTTTTTATTCTACTACATCCTAGTTTTGTATATGCTTGAAAATTTTGTTCAAAAATTCAAGATTTTTTTGAAGTGCAGTCCCTTTACATATGTAATATACACTCACTTTCAAATAGTCAATAGGAAAAACTTCTGTTTCTTTTAATTACAGCTAATTTCTACTGGAATTTACTAGATGTTTCAGTATTTTTTCTTCTGTTTTCCCCCGTAAGTAGAGAAAACATCAAATATTAGACATATTATTAAGCCTACTTCTGATCATTTCAAAGCTTACACAATCTAAATTTGAAGAAGAATCAGATTTTACAGACCTCAAAAGCACAAGCCACAAAAGCAAAAATAGACAACTGGGATTATATGAAACTAAAAAGATTCTGCGCAGCAAAGGAAACAATCAACATAGTTAAGATAAAACCTACACAGTGGGAAAAGGTATTTCCAAACTATCCATCTGACAAGGGATTAATATCCAGATTATATAAGAAGCTCAACAACTCAGCAGCAAAACAGCAAATAATCCGATTTGAAAATGGGGAAATGATCTACATAGATATTTCTCAAAAGAGGACATATAAATAAATGGCCAACAGGTACATTAAAAAAACGCTCAGAATCACTAATCATCAGATAAATACAAATTAAAACCACAAAGAGATATCACCTCACCCCAATTAAAATGGCAATTATCAAAAATGTAAAAGAAGAAATGCAGGTGAGGATGCAGAGAAAGGTGAGCTCCTATATATATTGTTAGTGGGAATACAGAGTAGTATGGCCATTATAGAAAACAGTATGGAGGATCCTCAAAAAATTAAAGACAGAAATACCATATGATCCAGCGATCCCACTACAGGGTATGTATCCAAAGGAAAGGAAATCAGTATAGCAGATATCTGCACTCCCATGTTTATTGCAGCACTATTCTCGATAGCCAAGATATGGAATCAACCTAAGTGTCCATGAGTGGATGAATGGATTTTAAAATGTGGTTTATATACACACAGGAATATTCAGCTATAAAAAAGACTGAAATTCTGTCATTTGTGACAGCGTGGATGAGCCTGAAGGACATTATGTTAAGTAGGTAGGCACAGAAAGACAAATATCACATGTTCTCATTCATATGTGAGAGCTAAAAAAGTCTCATAGAAGTAGAAAATAGAACAGTGGTTACTAGAGCCTGGGAAGGGTAGCGGGAGGGAGGGAATAGACAGAGGCTGATTAACTGGTATAAAACTACAGTTAAATAGGAGAAATAAGTTCTAGTGTTCTATAGCATAGGGGGTGAATATAGTTAAAAATAATTTACTGTATATTTCAAAAGAGTTAGAAGAGTGGATTTTGAATATTCCCAAAACAACGAAATGGTAAGTATTTGAAGAGAAGGATATCCCAATTACCTTGACTGGATCACTACACATGGTATGCATGTATTGAAATATCATATGTATACCATTAATGTGTACAATTATTATGCATCAATTAAAAGTAATTCTTTTAAAATAAGATTTCACTACCATTTAGATTGTGCCTCAAAACAGGACCTAGGATGTAAAGGGCTGAGGAAGAATTAATCTAATCAATAATAGAAACATGAAATGAATTAAGACTTAGTATGACTTCTCTCTCACTAAATAGGTAACAACCAGCAATGATATAGACTCCCTATGAAGTGATGTTTAAGGGTGGTAACTTTTTTTTTTTGATAGACAGGAGAGTGATGGAGTATCTTCCCCCTGGTGGATAAACTTGGTAATATCCAAGTGATCCTTTAATAAAAAAAGTTTTACTGTTCTTTCTGGTAAAATCTCTAGATAACCATTTCCATTATTTTCTTTGGCAAGTACACTTTAAGGAAATTTAGTGAAATTATCTTATAGTATGAAATTGTCAGCTGTGACTATCCTGGTTATTATAGTCTCCATAAATATAATAGCATTTGATAATAGCATTTGTTCGCCAGATACTAAGTGTCAGGCACAACACACACTTTTGTAAGTTTGATTCAATCTTACCTTCTTTCAGAAAAGGATTCAAAGTAGCAATTTACATATATTATTTCAATAATTTCTTTTTCAGAAAAAGAGGGATTTTATCATCCCTCTAGTCTACATTGAAGAAACTGAGGTGCAGAAAGATTTGGTAACTCAACCAAAACCACAGCCGGTAGCATGGCCAGCATTTGAACCCAGGTCAGTCTGAGTCCAACGGTGAGCTTTCTTTGTCAACCATTGTTTAACTTTACAGAGCTTTGTCCCTCTCTGAAAATCTGGCAAAATCTACTTTCACCAGAATATGGTACACCTCAGAACATGACAAAACTAGTTTACTTGGCCAAAGTTCTTAATATAAATATCAAGTCCACATCAGTGCAACATGTATCTGATACAGTACCTTCAAAGTACATGCTTACTAACAAAATGTCAGTAAGACATACAGATGCCACAAATAGATTTTTAGTCTTTTCTTACCTAAAAACCATATATGTATAAAATTCACAGCAGCAAAATCCTGTCTGACAGGAGGAACAGAAAGTAGCAGAAATCTAAAAGCTAGCACGATACATAACCTGCAGTAAATGTTCACGTTTTAAGAAATACTCAGAATATGCCTTTGCCATATGAAACAGTAGTAACATTACACAATGTACCCTGCCTGAAAACATGTATCTAATATTTGTAAAAATTGTTTTCACCCATATTTTCATTCTGAGGTTTGTAGAGATTCTGTACACAGTACTATAGCATAAAAATATTTACTCTGTTGTCTTCCTTATCATCTAATTTTGAAGCCTATGGGTACTTTCATTATCACAAGAAGACTGAACGGCTACAACAGATTGCTTTTCCACCATCTATTAATGAGGTAGAACAGCCAGCAATCAATATTATTTTAAGAAAAGTGGCTTCTAAGACACCCCAAGTCTTCCTCCCTTGTTGTCTCTCTCTGTAAATGTGTACACTTGCATACAAACATACAAAGTCCTTTACTTCAACAATTTGTGTTCCTAAGACTCGGTAAATTTTTGCAGTACTTAGAAATGCTCTCATTGTGTTTTGTTCTTGTAAGTATCACCTGGT